GCTAAGAGTTCCCTTCTTGGCCTTCCATATATTTGATTCTGATATTAAGCTTGCATCTGTTCAAACTACCACACAACGAGGCCACAACGTTCCTACTTATTGACCAATACTCAGGTGTATCCTCCGTTTCAGACTGTGTGTATATCAAGCCACTGAGGTACATTACTCAGCAAGCTTCCTCTACTCCTCCCTCACCAACACCTTTTATCCCCCTCTCTTCCTGCGTAGGGGGTACTACCAAAAATCTCTCAGCTGCCTTGAAGAGGGACTTTGATAAGTTCCTTGAGTGCATACGTTGGTCTGTGTGGTTGGTACCAACAACCTGGTCGATCAGGCCAGCAACCAGAATACCTAGCCTGGAACCGGGCCTCAGAGGGAAGTGACCCTCCAAAAACTGACTACAGATAACCCACAGACAACCTCCTGCAAATTTCCTCGAATCTCTCAGCAACTCTCTACACCGGAACCGCATTAGTTGTTGAGCAGTGTGACCAGCATTGTGGACGGCTGAATGAGCTACCAGGAGCATCTTTCTCTCCTGCAAGTTGAAGAATAAAGATATCTCCAATGTATTTTTCGAGTGAAATTAACATTATATTGTGATTGTATATGCTAAACAAACAAAAAAGGCGTAGCATAAATGGGCCAAAAGATGGGATTAACTGGTCAGATTAGCCATTCTCCCTGGGTTCCATGAACGAAGTCTGTCTACGTACCCGAACACAGGCTGTTACATTCTGTGTGCAGTTGCAGAGTCAGGATACTGCATGATGATGCCTTAACACAGCTATTTTAAAAATAAATAACAAAAAGACAATATCTATTGTTGCAGATAATGGTAGAGAGTAGATAGTCCCGTAGCTCGGTTGGTAGCGCACTCAGCTAACGCACTGAGGTCAGTGGTTCGATCCCCTCCACAGCTGGAAACATTGGGGGGTTCCTTAAGATACCTGCTGTCCCTGTTCACCTAGCAGTAAATAGGAAACCTGGGTGTTAGCCGACAAGTGCCAGTCGCATCCTGGGGACAAAATTAATTTGCCCGAAATGATCTGCATTACAAAGGGCTTTTCATACAGTATATCATTAATGTCAGCTATGGTCTGTATACGTTGTATCACGTACTTGTAAAAATAAAGATTATTATCATTATTATTATCATTATGTTATAGTGCTGTAAAGGTTGTGTACTCTATGTAAGACCAGTAAGTCCACTGCCATAGCTCACCACCACCCCAGTAATGTTCCGCCAGAATACACAACCTAATAAGTATCATACATTAAAAAAATAACAACTGATATAAAATTATAAATAGGTGAGAGATGTTATTTCTGATATTCAGTGTGTAATTAACTTTTCAATTAATGTCTCAGTAAACATTAACTTCCCCAGAGCCAAGTCTGAAACCAAACCTACTAGGTTGAAAACCAGGCCAACCAGGTTGAAAAACCAGGCCTAGTAGGTTGGAAACTAGGCCTACTAGGTTGAAAAACAGGACTACTAGGTTGGAAACTAAGCCTACTAGATGAAAACCAGGCCTAGTAAGTTGGAAACTAAACATACTAGGTACGAAACAAGGCAGGTCCTTCTGGGTGGCAGGCAGCTCCCAGCAGTAGGTAATGAATGCCGAGCAACATATTGTAGGAGATAAATTCAGAAGCATAATGCAAGGCATTGTTGCAACCACCAGCAGTGTTGTCAGATGTCAGTCAGCTCTCCTTCTGCCAACCCATCAATATCTAGGTCCAACCTGTAAGACCAATCTGCAAGACCAACCCAAGACCAACCTGCATTTAGATGCGATCTCAGAATTCCCTGAATAAGAGCCCTTCACCAGAATATAGGCTTGATAAGATAAAATTAATCTGGCTATGTACTTTGTACTAGAGTACAGTGGTATCAACAGGGTTATATGGGTGTGAGGCATGGAATTTAAATGATGCAGCTAGTAGGAGGCAGTAGAGATGTCGTGTTTGAGGGCAATGTGTGGTGTGAATATTATGCAGAGAATTAAAAACTTGGAGTTAGGGGTTTTCTTCCAATTTCTTAATTCTTCTTGGCCTTGTAATGTTTAAAGAGCGTGATAAAAAGTACTTATTTTGGAGTTTCTGCACAATATATGACTTGTTAGAGAAGGTGACTATAATGCCGGGATCAGAGGCCTAGCAACCCCTCCTGTATCACTTACTAAATACACAGCAGGAAATTCCCCTTTTACACATTAATACGTCACGGTGTACAGTACCGACCACTTGATGAGTAACAGATTAGATTTTAGATTTTGCCACTGAAGTGGCTAGTTTATTGTGCACTCCTTATCCAAAAGGCCTAGTTCCTAGGCCTTTTGGATAAGACCTCGTAACTAGGCCTTTTGTGCATCCATATGCTCTTGCAGTACCATCCACAGGACGGATAAGAAATACACAATAAACTAGCCACTTCAGTGGCAAAACCTAAAATCTAATCTGTTACTCATGAACTGGTCGGTATTGTACACTGTTAATAATATGATGTATTAATGTGTATAAGGGGAATTTCATACTGATGAGTAACATAGGTGCAAGATTCAGGTTTCTTTACTGTGGAAACGTTGTGCCCGTGCTGCAAGCTTCATTAGCTTATTACAGGCGAGTACTCATGTTTCCTGACAAAGAGAAACACCTTTACAAGACCGGTACCGGAAACCGGAAAAGGTGAGGCTACAGGTTCCTACAAAACCACAACGATCAGGTAAACACAACTGAGAAAGCTGGACAAAAAAAGGCAATGTGACTCACTCACACCTTGGCAACTGGCATAGGTACTGGAGGAGACAAAGCAAGAATCACCATGTAGGCCAGTAACCGAATCTACAAAACTGTCCTTGTAGAATCATCTACAGAAGTGACTATGTACCACCGGACCCAAAATACCCCGGCACGATAGTGGCTATCTTTATACTTAGCAAATCAAAAGAAATAAACTTTATCTTATCTTATCTACAGAAGTGACCATGTAGCACCATCTACAGAAGTGACCATGTAGCACCATCTACAGAAGTGACCATGTAGCACCATCTACAGAAGTGATCATGTAGCACCATCTACAGAAGAGACCATGTAGCACCATCTACAGAAGAGACCATGTAGCACCATCTACAGAAGTGACCATGTAGCACCATCTACAGACGTGACAATGTAGCACCATCTACAGAAGAGACCATGTAGCACCATCTACAGAAGTGACCATGTAGCACCATCTACAGACGTGACAATGTAGCACCATCTACAGAAGAGACCATGTAGCACCATCTACAGAAGTGACCATGTAGCACCATCTACAGACGTGACAATGTAGCACCATCTACAGAAGTGACCATGTAGCACCATCTACAGAAGTGATCATGTAGCACCATCTACAGAAGTGACCATGTAGCACCATCTACAGAAGTGATCATTTAGTACCGTCTACAGAAGTGACCACGTAGCACCATCTACAGAAGTGACCATGTAGCACCATCTACAGAAGTGACCATGTAGCACCATCTACAGAAGTGACCATGTAGCACCATCTACAGAAGTGACCATGTAGCACCATCTACAGAAGTGATCATTTAGTACCGTCTACAGAAATGACCATGTAGCACCATCTACAGAAGTGACCATGTAGCCCCATCTACAGAAGTGATCATTTAGTACCGTCTACAGAAGTGACCATGTAGCACCATCTACAAAAGTGACCATGTAGTACCATCTACAGAAGCGATCATTTAGTACCGTCTACAGAAGTGACCATGTAGCACCATCTACAGAAGTGACCATGTAGCACCATCTACAGAAGTGACCATGTAGCACCATCTACAGAAGTGATCATATAGTACCGTCTACAGAAATGACCATGTAGCACCATCTACAGAAGTGACCATGTAGCACCATCTACAGAAGTGACCATGTAGCACCATCTACAGAAGTGACCATGTAGCACCATCTACAGAAGTGATCATTTAGTACCGTCTACAGAAGTGACCATGTAGCACCATCTACAGAAGTGACCATGTAGCACCATCTACAGAAGTGACCATGTAGCACCATCTACAAAATTGACCATGTAGCACCATCTACAGAAGTGATCATTTAGTACCGTCTACAGAAGTGACCATGTAGCACCATCTACAGAAGTGACCATGTAGCACCATCTACAGAAGTGACCATGTAGCACCATCTACAGAAGTGACCATGTAGCACCATCTACAGAAGTGACCATGTAGCACCACCTACAGAAGTGACCATGTAGCACCATCTACAGAAGTGACCATGTAGCACCATCTACAGAAGTGACCATGTAGCACCACCTACAGAAGTGACCATGTAGCACCATCTAAAGAAGTGACCATGTAGCACCATCTACGGAAGTGACCATGTAGCACCATCTACGGAAGTGACCATGTAGCACCATCTACGGAAGTGACCATGTAGCACCATCTACGGAAGTGACAATGTAGCACCATCTACGGAAGTGACCATGTAGCACCATCTACGGAAGTGACCATGTAGCACCATCTACGGAAGTGACAATGCAGCACCATCTACGGAAGTGACCATGTAGCACCATCTACGGAAGTGACAATGTAGCACCATCTACGGAAGTGACCATGTAGCACCCATCCAGAGCATCCAGGGAGCTATCTTGTAGATTCAATTCCCTAGAACTAATCACCTTGTTTATCAATACACAAATATCGTCTGGGACAACACGAAAAAACGAAGAACTGAATCCTTTTAAGGTAAACATGAGACACTCAAAAAGTGAGTATCATATTTAGGGAAGCAACGGGATCTTCTCCCTCTCAAAGAGACTCCAACACTCTTAAAGAGTATCCAACACTCTTCAAGAGAATCCAACACTTTCAAAGAGATTCCAATACTCTCAAAGATAATCCAACACTCTCAAAGAGAATCTAACACTCTTAAAGAGAGACTAACACGCTTAAAGATACTTCAACAGTGGTGGCAATGCTACTCACTTCATCTGCTTCACGATGGTGCTCTTCCCGGATTCTCCCGCGCCTGCAAAATAAGAGAACACGTGTTAGAACTCCACACAGACACACACTACAAACACACAATGAACTCAGCTGCCAATTAATTGTAAAGCAAATATACGTAAAATAAAGAAAATTGTTAATAAACAGATAAATGGACGAGGATTCGAACCGTGGCCCTGAATGGTAGCAGGTCCAGCGCTCTATCACTGGGCTGCGAGGCTTCACAGACAGTGTACTGCTGTGTCTGGTCTGCGTCAGAGGCCACCATCTGTGACCTTTGCGGGTAAAGACAACTGGGTCACAGTCGGTGGCCTCTGAGGCAGACATGACATTACAATGCTGTCTGTAAAACGTTCGTATTAGAAGCCTCGGAGCCCAGTAGTAGAGCGCTGGACCTGTTACTATTCAGTACCACGGTTCGACACCGTCAATTCTTCTGTTTATTCGTTACTACTTATCTCGAATTCAAAGAAATTATAATATATTATATATATATATTATAATTATATTATATATTATATATATATATATATAATATTATATAGATAATATAATATATATATATATGCAATCGTGTTCATTACGATTTCGTGATATATATATATATATATATATATATATATATATATATATATATATATATATATATATATATATATATATATATATATATATATATATATATATATATATATATATATATATATACATGTCGTGCCGAATAGGCAAAACTGATCAATTAGCAAGAAATCATTTAAAATTAAGTACTTTCTAAAATTTTCTCTTATACGTTTAAAGACATGTTTTTAATTTATGTTAATATAAAAATTTATGTTAATACAAAATCATTAAATTCTGTATTAACATCAATGAAAAAAATTCTGTAAATGTATAAGAGAAATTTTTAGAAAGGACTTAATTTTAAACGAGCTCTAGCTAATTGACAGTTTTACCTATTCGGCACGACATTTCATATATATATATATATAATATATATATATATATATATATATATATATATATATATATATATATATATATATATATATATATATATTAAACATTATCTCTCAGTCCACAGCATAATTGGAACCTGCACACTCTACATCAAAGTACACAGTATTTTTACCACATAGCCAGACCCCACAATGAGTACGGGCGCCAAGCCGATGTAAGGCAGTGTACCGACACCCCGGAGCACCAGGCTTACATGTTTCTTCATCAAATCCTGCCACATGCAGTGAACTTCGAAAGAGATTTTGGATTGATTGTCTCGTGCACTGAGGTACAGGGGGCTGGATTATGCAATACGGAGATACCTTTCTCCGAATCATGAAATCTTAATAACACGACTGCCAACAAATCAGTGTGCTATCACAGCTAGTTTAGGACTCACTAGCCATGGGTTCGATCCCCAACCGTTCCGTGACTTGCTACTTTTCTATGGTCGCGCAGAAACTAATATATATCTAGTCTACAGCAACTCTTAAAAGTTTAAAGATTTGCAACCAGATTAGTACGAGATCTGAAAGAAATTCAATGCAAGACATCTGTGGCAACTGTCCCCAGCGAGGACCAGGGACCAGGCGCCACTAGTTACCTGTGTACCTGGAGGGTGTTCTTGGGGGTCATGGACTGCGGCCCGGTCCATGACCAAGCTCGGTCCCAGACCAAGCTTCTTGTCTGATGACCTGATCAGGTGACAGCTAGAGTAATACAAAACATGCAATGTTCTTTGTCAGGACGTGGTGGTGGAAATTACGGACGTGGTGGAGGAGACTAAGAACGTGGTGGAGGAGACTAAGAACGTAGTGGAGGAGACTAAGGACGTGGCGGAGGAGATTAAGGACGTGGCGGAGGAGATTAAGGACGTGGCGGAGGAGATTAAGGACGTGGTGATGATGACGACGCGGCCCTGAAGCCTCAATATTGACCAACGTAACACAACATGCTGGGCCGGGAGCTGAGACTCGACCCCCGCAGTAACAAATCGTTGAGCACAGGTCCAGGGGCTAAAAAAAAACCTGCACACGCACACAGTTTTGTAAGTACACATACACGATGTGTATACACAACTATACCACACACAGCTTGATGTGTACACACGCACGCACAGCTCAGCGTGTACATACACGCATAGTTTAGTGTACACACGCACACAGCTCAGTGTACACGCATACACAACTCAGTATGTACACACACAGCTCGGTATGTACAAAGACAGCTCAGTGTACACACTAGAGTTTTCCTACTCCTGAAGCCTAGCCCGGACCAGGCGTGACAAGTCAGCACTGAGGCAGGGTGCTCCTGTGATGTACAAGTGAACCCTGTTCCCAAGTATATTACTGTACAAGAATTAAATAAGTGTATTTGAGTGGAAGAAAATATTCACCGTTCCTATCATTACTTATATTTTATTATTTTAAATGAGGTGAGAGTTGAAGTGGAGGTGGGTAGGACCAAGGTAGTGAGGTAGGTATAATGTTGGTCTGGTATGAGGACAAGTGTTTCCTGACGCGGGTCATAGTCATGTGATGAACCACAGCAGGAGCTTCTGGTCATGTGACCGAGGTCTTCAGCTAGCTTACCGGTTCACCTCTTTAAAAATCATGGTTATGATTATAACCATTAATTGTTCAGAATAGTGAACGTAGTGTAGTGTAAAGGAGTCACCAATGACCTCCACTCTCCTGCCATTACTGCTCGTACTCCCTTTAACCTCCACTCTCCTGCCATTACTGCTCGTACTCCCTTTACTCTCCTTATGCCCTTGTTCCCGACAACGTATATGACAATACATTAAGATAATAAACGTTCATTTAAGACAAACAAAAGTACAAGATAAGGAACGTTTAAGACAAACAAAAGGACAGCAATATAAAGAAAAATGTTCATTTAAGACGAGCAAAAGTACAGCAAGATAAGAAACGTTTATTTAAGACAAACAAAAGAACAAGACAAGAACTTTCTTTGTAAGACAAGCAAACATTCAATGAGACTAAAAATGTTAATTGTAAAACAAGCAGACGAACATCACGACCAAAAGTGTTCGATACAAGACGAGGTCAACGAACATTAAGACGAGAAACGTTCATTTAAGGCAAGGAAACGTTTAAGACAAGCAAACATGTGTAGTGACCATGTTTGTCCGGCTCCACCAAACATGTGTAGTGACCATGTTTGTCCGGCTCCACCAAACATGTGTAGTGACCATGTTTGTCCGGCTCCACCAAACATGTGTAGTGACCATGTTTGTCCGGCTCCACCAAACAAAAACACTGTAATAAGTGTTTCCAAGTGGCGCTGACACACACACGCACGCACACATACACCACATTGATGACCATTAACAAGACACTGATGACCATTAACAAGACACTGATGACCATTAACAAGACACTGATGACCATTAACAAGACATTGATGACCATTAACAAGACATTGATGACCATTAACAAGACACTGATGACCATTAACAAGACATTGATGACCATTAACAAGACACTGATGACCATTAACAAGACACTGATGACCATTAACAAGACATTGATGACCATTAACAAGACATTGATGACCATTAACAAGACATGATGACCATTAACAAGACACTGATGACCATTAACAAGACACTGATGACCATTAACAAGACACTGATGACCATTAACAAGACACTGATGACCATTAACTAGACATTGATGACCATTAACAAGACATTGATGACCATTAACACAAGACACTGATGACCATTAACAAGACATTGATGACCATTAACAAGACATTGATGACCATTAACAAGACATTGATGACCATTAACAAGACACTGATGACCATTAACAAGACATTGATGACCATTAACAAGACATTGATGACCATTAACAAGACATTGATGACCATTAACAAGACACTGATGACCATTAACAAGACACTGATGACCATTAAAAAGACATTGATAACCACTAACAAGACATTGATGACCATTAACAAGACTGATGACCATTACCAAGACACTGATAACCATTAACAAGACAGTGATGACCACTAACAAGACATTGATGACCATTAACAAGACTGATGACCATTAACAAGACACTGATAACCATTAACAAGACAGTGATGACCACTAACAAGACACTGATGACCACTAACAAGACACTGATGACCACTAACAAGACATTGACAACCACTAACAAGACATTGATGACCATTAACAAGACTGATGACCATTAACAAGATACTGATGACCACTAACAAGACACTGATGACCATTAACAAGACATTGATGACCACTAACAAGACACTGATGACCACTAACAAGACATTGATGACCACTAACAAGACACTGATGACCACTAACAAGACACTGATGACCATTAACAAGACACTGATGACCACTAACAAGACACTGATGACCACTAACAAGACATTGATGACCACTAACAAGACATTAATGACCACTAACAAGACATTGATGACCACTAACAAGACACTGATGGCCACTAACAAGACACTGATGACCACTAACAAGACATTGATGACCACTAACAAGATATTGATGACCACTAACAAGACATTGATGACCACTAACAAGATATTGATGACCACTAACAAGACATTGACGACCACTAACAAGACATTGATGACCACTAACAAGACACTGATGACCACTAACAAGACATTGATGACCACTAACAAGACATTGATGACCACTAACAAGACACTGATGACCACTAACAAGACACTGATGACCACTAACAAGACATTGATGACCACTAACAAGATATTGATGAACACTAACAAGACACTGATGACCATTAACAAGACATTGATGACCACTAACAAGACACTGATGACCACTAACAAGACATTGATGACCACTAACAAGACATTGATGACCACTAACAAGACATTGATGACCACTAACAAGACACTGATGACCACTAACAAGACACTGATGACCACTAACAAGACATTGATGACCACTAACAAGACATGATGACCACTAACAGGACACTGATGACCACT